TTTTTTTTATTATATTGAAACAAAACAAAATACGTCAATTTCAGACAAAATGATTCTTGTTGACCAATTCGATCCCAAGAAGAATACCATTGATATCATTTATTATTTTAATAGTTTACGTGACATCGTAGCGCATCTATTAGGTTGTGAAGAGAAACAAGCTTTAAAGAAAATTGAGGAAATATTTAATCTGGATCAGTCCAAGAAGCAACAAAGAATAACAGATTTTTCTCACCTCCAGAAAAGAATTCAGTAAAAGGGAACAAACGAAGAAAACTAAATTAAATTTGTACAACCGCAACTATATATAAATGGTAAGGATTCATTTTATTTTGTTTCAATGATGTTTTATAAATTATTTGAGAATAATCGTATTAAAATATTAGATTACGTTGAGATAACAAAACTCTATTCAAAAGAACAACGATCATCTGTTATAATAAACTACCTATTACAAAATAATTTCGATGTGGAAAAATTCAAAGATTTTTTAATATTGACAGAAAAACGTAATCGTTTAAAATATTCATCCGACGTTTATGAATTAACGATTGATATTGACAAGGAAATAGAAATGATAATACTGACCGAAACCTTAAAACTCAATAATATAATATTCACAAAAGAACATATATTTTATTGTAATTATACTTATTCTTTCTGTTCAGTATTTATACCGAACAGAAACTTATTTCTGCAATTTAACAGGAATGCCCCGTCAAAAATGTTCAAAGAAGAAACGTCTTTCACCTTACCCCAAAACAAAAAAAAATAAATTAAAATTTAACAATATGATATACGATGATATTTTATATTTGATAATCTTATTTTTGATTCCTGATGATATAACCAGATCCTCCAAATTCAATTTCAATGATCGAAGATTTATCGATTTTCGGCGAATCAAATTAGTGGATTGGCGATTTTATCATCTTTTCAAATATTATTTTTCTCTTTACAGAACTAAATACTATTTGATACAAAAATATAATTCTCTCTACAAACCTCTAAATCGTTTTGACTGGAAGATTCGGTATTGCAAGAAAGAAATTTTGATTGATATTGACGAAGACAAATATGTTAAACTTCGATCTTATGGCGGAACACCATATTGTGTATTAAGTGGCGAGACTTTAATCTTTCTTGAATCGAATAAATTTAATGATTATCAAAAAAAAAAATGCGATGTTTGTGGGGATTTTACATATTGTGCCATGTGCTTTTACGATTTTCACAGAAACGATATATCTGAAACTAGAGGAATATTGGAGAAAGTGACACCTGCGATTGACGTTGGAAATTTTCAATGTTATTATATAAATAATTGTATGAATTGTAGAGAAGGTATTCTATCATCAAATCAAGATTTATATAAACCAAAATGCACAAACTATTAGATATTTTATATAAATAAATATTCGAGTTCTGTTCAGTATTTACCAAACAGAAAATTATTTCGTTGATCTATTATGGAATCGAAAAAAGATTTTACCTTTATTAAATACGATCATAATGAGAAAAGAAAAAATAAGCGACAAAAACTTGATCCGTATTTTAAAAACAAAATTAGAACCAAAAACAATCAAAGATTCATCTCTTTACTTGACGATATATTACACATAATATTTTTTTTCTTAGCTCCTTCCAAACTCAAGCTCAATAATCTGGAAAGCGGTGATTTTAGACAATTAAAGTTCATATGTCACACATTTTATTCATTTTACCACTATTATTTTAAACACCATGCTACCAAGTATTATCTTGTGCCAAAACACATCACTCTCCATTCTATCAAAAAGTACGAATGAAATGTACGATATTGCCCCAAGACTATTTGGATCAATATTAAGATCGATGACAGTTTTCAGAGACATAAACTACAATCATATTTTTTTAACAATATACCCAACGATAACGAATTACATGTTGAACTAAGTCAATTATTAAACTTTAGAAAGATTTTACTATTTGTTGATTATCAAACATATCTAACATATGGGAAAACTACATGTGAAGCTTGTTCTTCGTTTACATACTGTGAAAAATATGTTTACACTTTCTATAAGAACGTGCCCTCGACTTGTCAATCGCTTTTGGACGCTTTAACAAAACCAACCAGCAGCGATTTTTATTTAACGTACAAAGTAAATCTTTGTGAACACTGTGAAAAATATTTCACAAATTTGTTTATGTGCCAGGACTACAACGCTCTCTTGGATTCACAAACTTAGAAATTGTTATGATAAAGGAATTGGTTCGCCTTCCAGAACACAATTCAATCAAACTTTGCGATTCAATGTAAAAACTATTTCCTAATTTATTTACAAATTGGAAATTGCTATGATAAAGGAATTGGTTTGGTGTTAGAAAATTTTCAGAATATTTATATTTCTTGTTTCGATTGAACTTCAATTTTCTATATCTAATTAGTCTTTTGACCGATTAGATTTTTCCCTCAGTAATTCACTGAATCCCATAATTTATTTTCAGATTTTAAATATATATATAAATCTAGTTTTTCTAAGAAACAAAAAAAAAAAAAAAGGGTTTTGAAATCGAGATTGGTTCAAACCTATCTTTGTGTTTGATCGAGTTGCAAAAACTTTTTTTCTGTTTATTATGTTTAAATGACCTAATCAGTCAAAGACCGATTAGATTTTTCTCCACATAATTCTCTTCGAACTTGGTTCAAACTTATCTTTCTGTTTAAGCAAAGCTTTTCTATACTTTATTTTTATACTACATATTTAAAATTTTTACTCTTGTAGTAAAGATAAATAATTAATTAAAAGGTGAGAGAGCTCCAAACTGTGTTTTGTTTAAGAATTCGCTTCTTTTACTTGATACTAACTCTCACTGGACTGACTATTTGTTGATCGATCGACCGACCGACCGATTCAATTTTTTTTTTTAGATGCCAAAAACCAAACCAGGATATTATACTGTACGAAAAGGATATAAACCAGGAATTTATTTAACTTGGGATAAATGTGAGACACAAGTTAATGAATTTCGTAATGCTATGTATAAAAAATTCCCTACTCGTATCAAAGCTCAAAAATTTATTGAAGGAAAAAGTGAAGTTTCTGTTATTTTAAACGATAGTAAAATTCAAATTTGGACAGATGGATCATCATTTAATAATGGTACAACAAGAGCTCAAGCGGGTATTGGTGTATTTTGGAAGGATAATGACCCTAATAATTTAAGCGAAAGATTACCAGGATCGGAACAAACTAATAATCGCGCTGAAATTTATGCTGTGATTAGAGCTCTCGAAGTTTGTGAAAATAAAACAAAACCTTTGGAAATAATGACAGATAGTAAATATGTAATCAACATAATTGAAGATTGGGTTGAAAAATGGGAAAAAAATGGTTATATGAGTTATAAAAATACACCAGTCAAAAATCAAGATCTAATCAAAAGGTTAAAAAAACTTATTGACAATAGAATAGGTACAGTTCGATTGATTCATGTTAGAGGTCATTGGGGAAATTATGGTAATGAACAAGCTGATAGATTAGCTAAAATTGGATCATTACAAGAAGAAGCGAAAGAAAATTTTAAATTAGAAACTCATTCTAAACATATTACTGATTATTTTAACAAAAAATAAAATCGTTATATTTATTGATTAATATTTTATTTAAGTTAATAAAATTTATTAATCTTAAAAATTTCGAAAATGAGATATTGATTAGAAACAATTCAACTCGTTGAATTGTTTATCATCAAATCGAGGCGTTCGAAATTCTTTCTAAACACCCACTGAAGAGTGAGAGAGTGAGTGAGAGAGACAAATAGTCAGTCTATTTTCTTTGTTTAAGACGTTCGTTACAACGATTTAAAGCAAGACAGGGTCGTAGCCGTATCATCAATGTCAAAGACATCAACGATTTGGAAACCTTAAATCATCATAAGAACAGAGTAAACAATTTTTTACTAATCAGTTTTCAAACCGATTAGATATTTTTTTAGTCATTAAATATTATTTGATTATATTGGATCATACGTGGTTCAGAGAGAATGAAAATACAAATTATCAAAGACCAATTAGATATCTTGATAACGATGGACACATAACCGAATATATTCAAATCATGTTGAGCGATAAGCAAAATGCTTTTCTTGATAAAGAACATCGAGACTTTTTGAAGCAACATAAGTTTATTCTCGATAAGGCTAGTAATATCATCGAAGAAACCACTAAAGAATATTTACTCGAATTACTTTATGAAGTTAAATTAGCAAATATTAAATTTAAGAACGATTATTCATTTGATTTACATATTTGTAATATTGAAATTGCTTAAATTTAATTTATTTTTATTAATAAATTATAAATCATTCAAAATAAAAAAAAAA